GTTTCTTTGCCGTATGTCGAGCACCAGAGTGTAAATCGAATGGTGGGTGGGCTCATTTATATTTTGAGAGAAAGCACGCGAGTCTAATAACAGATTAAATGCATGTTTGATGCTGTCAATTTAAGCATCTACATGAATGCTAAAATCACTCGTTATAATCATTTTATCTGAACTGAGCAGAAAATCAGATAAAAAGTTTGAGAATTCACATAGAAACTGTGCTTAAAGGCCAGAAAGATTCAAAAACAACAAATCAAAGCATGGAAAGGTGAAAAGTCAGGTTTTCAAATGAATTCAGTTCAGTTTTTAGTTGTATTTATACAGTGTTACAACATTAGTCACCTCAAGGAGCTTTATATTGTAGGATACCCTCTGCAATAATACAGAGAAAATCCCAACAATCAAACAACCCCCTTTGAGCAAGCTCTAGGCCACAGTGAGAAAGAAAAACTCCCTTTTAACAGGAAGAAACCTCAGGAAGTGGCAGCCATCTGCTGCGAGTGGTTGGAGGGTGACGAATTAAAACTCTGTCTGGGTTGTTGGTTGATTAACAAGCTGGAGTGAAGGATTGTTGCCACCTCTGACACAGTCTAACACCCACAGGATGACAGCATGAGAATAGCTGCAATTTATAGTTTGTAGAATTGATGTTTTTATGAGTTTTTGTAATCAAATGTTTTTGTATTCATGCATCTCATCACCCTGTTAATATAGAAACACAATCTAAGCTCAGGATAAAAAACCCTTAAGCTCTAAAATCTCCCAGCATGGTCCAATAGAGGATCCAGTGTTACCTGCCGAGGTGTGAGAAAAGTCATCTGTCCCTAAACCCAGCCAAGTGCTTTTGGTGCCTTAACATAACCAAGCTACAATTTAAAATGGAAAGTTAAACTCATTGTGTTTAATCACATATAAATAAGAATACATGATCAAAGATATGATAAAAACATGTTAGTGTCCCTGCAAAGATGTCCTGGCTACACCTTTGCCACCTGCTGCTTTTTGCATGGACACCAAAAGCATTTTGGTTCGATGGCCAATATGCTCCCAGCCCTCAACCTCCTGCACCCCCAGCTCCTTTTGACTGACATCCCCAGACTTTGCATCAAAACCCAACTCACAACAAGCCCCCCCCACCCCCACCCCATCCCCCCTCCACCCCCCACCCCCAAGTCAAGACTAGCTCTGCTCATCAAGTCAGAGACCGTTGGGCGTTACTTCCACATACAAGCCAGCTAAGAAAGGAAATGCAGATGAAGGCTTCTGCAGCCATTCAGAAACCCCAGGTCGCTGTTGCTGCTGCTGCCAGTGAACGCGCCTCAGACAAATCTCTGGCTTTTGGTTAATGGATCTCCCTCTGCTCTCCACATTTCATTCTGCTTCTGTTTGATTTTTCTTAACATGCACCGATGTTCAGGTAAACTGCCCTCAGACATAAACGTGTTTGTAAGATTTCAGTGATGCTATCAGGGTACTCTTTGGGCTCTGAATTTGCAGATAATTTTGGCTGTTGCTTTTCTACTGGTTTACCCTAATTTGTACAACACAGGAACGCTTGGTTTGTACTGATACATAATACTTAGATATGGATTGAAATGAATAATCTCTGGAAGCATTTTCTTGCGAATGAAAAGTCAAATTAACAACAGTTATTATTCAGAATTAGGCTCCTTATTTGAGACTGGCTTATTTTTCAGTGTGTGTCTTGCAAAAGGACAATCTATAACTGAATGATTTGCTGGATATGGCACTCTATAGATGGTTTCTAGTTTTAGCTGAAATAATGACCTTTTTATTCTCATATCATTTGTCTGTCTCTTGTCAGTCTCTTCTGCTCTTGTTTCAAATTGAATTTCAAGTAGTGTTGGTGTGCAAATTGCAAATTATCCTGAATTAAACATTATAATGAAAATGTGAGGGAAACCATGTAGATGCAGCTATGCAGCGGTCCTGAAGATCATCGAATAAAGACGGTCAACTAATCTGGTTCAGATTTTCCCACATTAAGGAGTTTTGGGTGCAAGCCTGGCAGATATGTCGCTGTTAGTGTTGTCAGGCACCATATAGGGTGAGGCTTTTGGAAGTGACTGCATGTCTCGGTTCCTGCCCAAACTGCAGCTGAGGGAATTTGAAATCGTGCTCATGGTGAACACACTGTGTTGCATTCTGTCACACGTGGTCACAACTGAAATACGGAAACTGAGTGTAAATGATTTCCTTATGTGTGTGTGTGTCTGTAAATAAAATTATATGTGTGCGATGAATAGTTTCTTGGGTGTGTTCATGATTTCCATCAGTTTAAAGCCATAAGGGCTACTGCACCAATGATGTGATTGGAGATGAGAGTTTTTGAAACTGTTCTGTCACATGGGCCAATTTTGTATCCCAAAAATGCCTAGGTTAATAATCATATATAGTTTCTTTCCAACTACATTGCAGGCTCCATATGGGTTATGTCAAATATTTTTTATTTTAAAATAAAAGTCTCAAATAAATTTACAAATATTAAATCTCTCCATGATGAAGATACCCCTCTGCCCTCTTAATTTTTATCCGGACGCTAGCCCATGGCCTTAAATGTCATTCTACTGAGGGCTGCTGTGTGAAAAGCTCGCAATCATCGGGTCAACAAACTCAAAATTAAAATAATACACTTTTAGGAGGTTTAGAAGGTTTTTTTTTTAAAGATGCCCTTTGGAAATGTATGGAAACACCTGGAGATACGTTTTAAAGGAACAGAAAAATAACTTCTTCAGATTAGCTTTCTTTTTTAATGCTCTTTGTAATAAAAGTGGACCACAACTATCAGCTAAAATCGAAATTGTGATAAAGAGCTTTTGGCGATGATTGTATCTGACATGCTCTGGCTGAACTTCACAGCCTGAACAGGACCTGTGCAGTAAGTGGAGCAGATTACGGTAAAATGCAAACATTTTACGAAATGAACACCTGGGTTTTGAGTAGTGGTGCAGACGTGTTGAGCGCGTAACTTTGTGTGCAGACCGCAGGTGTCCTCCCTGTTGCGCTCTCATTATGTCATCCTAATCAGTATCAACACATTTCATTTTTTTAAAGTTACTTTTTCCCTTTTTTTTTCTTCTTTTGTCTTTTTGATGAATTTCGTGTTGTGAAATAAAAATATCTTAAAAGTCAAGTCTGCATTGTTGTCGTTTATTTACAATGACACCATTATAATATAAATTATTTACACGTTGTATATAAAAGAGAACCTCGGATGAGAGGGGAAAACACTAATATTTCATCTTTAAAAATATCGATTTCAAAAAGTCCCATTTGCCATATAGAAAACAGCCGCTCTCTTAACACCGTAATACTTTAAGGCAGAAACGTTTCCAGGTGCCTAACTCAATCCCAGAAAACATGACTGAGGCTTTAACATAAAATAAAGAAGTCCAAACATTCACTGCATCGTAACAATACGATTTGGTTCGGAGCCGGCAAACGTGTTCAAACAGAAAAATGATTGCAGGAAAAATAAGTTATGTAAACACCTGCGCGCGGGTGGATGTTTATTGCATTTAAAATAAGAGTACAAAGTATCTTCGTTAACAACAACAGGAAGTGTGTTCTTGAACATTCTCGGGTTGCCTGGAGGCCTCAGGATGATGCGGTTTGATATGAATTTTAGCTATGGTCTACTGGCTTTTTAAGGCGATAGTTTATTTTTCGAAATGTCGTTGGCTTTCGGGAGAAAGTTAAAATAATAATAATAATAATAATAATAATAATAATAATAATAATCGCTAAAATCAGAAAATTCAAAGCCGGTTGTGTTAAGTTGTGTGCGCATCTACTGGCAGATATCTGAGAGCAATTTTGCTGCTAAACACTGGTCACCAGATTTAAAGCACACCTTTAACTCCAGACATGCCGTGAGGTCTCACATTCCGCATCCGGGCGCAGTGCGGCACCTGAAGGCCGCACAGGGCTGCTTCCACCACAACAAGCAGACCCGCAGGTCAACATTCACTACAGTCCAGCGGCATGACACAGCAAGAACAAAGAGGAAGCAAGAGGCGCTGCAGAAATGAGCCCCGTGGTCAGAAAGTACAGTAAGACAGGGAGAACACAGCGGACCGTTTGTCCACGCCATAGTTCCCGGAATGCAACAGAAAGAAATCTTTGGATATTAGCTCAGAGTTTTCAGACAGGGCTGCAGTGCGCGTGATGCTTGATCGCGTGATCACCTGCTCTCGAGCCCGTCGTGGTTTCGGCTGCAGCTGGAGCCATTTTCCTCCTCTGCAGGCCCACAATATCTAAGTTCTATCCACTCTGCTTTTTCTGTGCGGGCAGTTAGGCCACACTGCAGCGCGATCACTGTCACACATGGTTTGTTAGTTTTTATTTATTTTTAATTCCACGATTCGAAATCTCTTGTGGGCACGATGTAGCAGGCACGCAGGTAGGATGTGTCACATGACGCTGACACCTACTAAACCAGGAACATGGCTCCTCAGCTGTTGTCCGAACACCTTTGACCCTGTTTGTTCCGGGTTTCCATCGAGTGGAATCCCCGGCCTGCAGTCAGGTCACAGTAACAGAGGTCTGCCAGGAACCAGCGACTTTAAACTAATTCAAGCTGCGGAGTACACTTAACTGTTTTAAAAGTAGTTCTTAAAGTCGTTTATTTATTTTTATTCTACCTAAAGATATGTTATCCCATACTTCGATGAGACTGGAATTTATTATATGTCTTCTCGGTCAATTTTAACAGAGCAGCATTAGTATTAATTGTTCGCCATGTCCGCAGATATTTCCGTTGGACCCTGAATGCCACATTGGTCGCGGTTTCAGGCTGCAGCGAGTGAAAACGGTGGAGATTCCGGCTGTGACATGAATGCGGCTCCATCTTGACTTGAGCTGGGCCTCGTCATATCTACAGCCCTGAGTACACAGTATACAGCCATAATATCTCTGTCACAAACAGAGAGGTGTGTGTGTGTGTGTGTGTGTGTGTGTGTGTGTGTGTGTGTGTGTGGAATTGAAATATGAATGCTGGTGATTTTATTGCATGTTCAGAGTCAACTGTCATCCTCTAGTCGCTGTCCGACTTGGCGTCCTTGGATGTCGAGTGGTTGTACAGTCCCTGCGCCATGAGATGCAGCGCCAGAGAGTTTTTATTCCCGGATGCCTTCTTGATTTTGGCACGCTTGTTCTGGAACCAGATTTTGATCTGAGACTCGTTGAGACCGAGGTCCCGGGCCAGGCTCTGCCTCCGTTGTTCGGTCAGGTAGCGGTTGTTCTGGAACTCTGTTTTTAACCGCTGGAGCTGCTCCGCGGTGAAGGCCGTCCGGGGCCGTTTGTCCTCTTTACTCGGGGTCGGCGCTTTCTTTGGTTTGCGAGATCTGGGCCCTGAAGTGCAGCGGGAGTGAAACAAATGACAGCCAGTGGTTAGAGTCAGTACCGTGGACTTTTCACACGTCACATGTGTGACAAAATGAAACGGGCTCAGTTATGAGTGGAAAACGTCTCTGTTCACATTTGCGCCAAATTAGGCAAATTTATCCTCGCGGCCAGGACTCACGTGACCTCCTGACAAAGCTGTTTAGATCCGGACTGAAGAAGAAAGTCAGCGACATGGGGGCTAATCTAGTTGATTAGTTTTTAGCAAGTCTAATCTTATTTTAAAGGACATATTGGTCACAACCTTTAATTCCATCCAACTGGATGCAATGGACCACACTGGGCATTAAGCACAGCTTAATGCTGAGGAGGAGAGGGTGCAGATGGGGGTGGGGTTTGGAGATGAGGAGGGATGGGGGCGTTGGGCGCCTCTTTCCCTCTCTGTAGCATAGGAACTCTATTTTTTAAAAGTACTTTTCTTTTGTCTCTGCACTGACATTGAGGTGTTTCTGCCGTGGTGGGATCAGGTGGACTATCCATGAGAAATGATTGAACTCAGTGTAAAAGACAGTAGGCGTACCTGCTCAGTACAGAACTCCCCATCAGTACAGGTGCACATGAAGCAGCTGCGCTGAAGGCCTGCATGCACTCTGACCTGGTCACGCGCATCGGGACGCTGTAACGTGCGCCGGGGCTCAGGTAACCGGACCGGTGCGCGGACGGAATCATGCGAGGGAGGCTGCGGGCTCTCCGGCCAGGAGCTTTTCATGAACTCGATGAACGCTTTTTCTTTCGATTCATCGATTTAAATAAATAAATAAACAAATAAATATTTTTGTTAGGAATAAATAAAAAAACAAAACAAAAACAAAACTCTTCCAAACGCGTCTTCGATACATGACTACAGTCTCTTCCTGTGCTCGGCTGCTGTGCTGTAGCATCGTTTTAGCAGCTGACATGGTGACAAAGGAAAAGTCCAAGTTTCCACGCATCCGCTGGCTGAATGAGCCGAGCCCGTTGCAAACTTCCACTTTAGCCCTAAAAACTCCCAGAGAGAGGGACAGGCTGGAAACAGGCTTCACCGCGATGCACCATAACGTGAGGGAAATGCTCCATTTGCAAACATTTACTACGCAGATGTGGGGTTTCTTCTTCTTATCATCATCATCATCATCATTATTATTATTATTATTATTATTATTTTTTTTTTTTACAAGTGAGATGAAATAAAATAAAATAAAATAAACTTTGGAACTGTGTTCTTAAGCATTTTTAGATTGAACCGACGGACTTTGGATACACAGCCTTCACTTTTTAGACTACCCCATTGTCAAAAATATGCTAATAGAATATTAACAAAGAGGACTGGGGAACAATGGCGTTAACTTGGTTTTACTTCACTTCAATATCATTTAACTTTACTTTCGACTCATGTTTAATTTCGTCGTTTTTTCAGAGCACTTTCCAGCCGCTTCGTGGATTTTGTTTTTATTTTAAAGCTACATTCAGATTGAATTCTGTACAGAATAGAAACGAGTTTCCAATATGCGTCTAAATTCATGTGAAATCTGCGCTCAGACTGCTCCTGTCATTTCAGGTTTAAAGTATGAAATTATTACTCCAACATCAGTTGTGTTGATTTAATGATGAGTTGTTACAAGTGATGAGTATATTATATGAAGGTGGGGGTAGAGGCCATTACTTCGGCACTGCTCAGAAAATGATGCAATAGCAGCTTTTTGGCTCCTTCCTGAAATTCAGCCTTTAAAGTGACTCTGAATTGCAAAGAGGAGCTGTCTTTTCCTTCTTTTGCTTTTCATGAATTAGACCTGGATGAGGAATGTTTTTACTAACCTGATGACGGACGGTCCGAGTAGCGAGTACAATACACCCAAGCTGGCCACAGCATCGATTTGGCCGCTGTGGCAGTGCTGGCCTGAGGGCTGCGGCAGCGGTCATTAGCCGCCACATCGCCGGGCCTCCTGGCGTCAATGTCCGGATGCTGGTCTTCATGCTCTCCTGGGTTCTCCTCTTCTTTGCCTCCTGCTCCACCCTGCCGAGGGTTAGCACTTTTGGGAGGCTTTCTCCCTGTCAGCTCCTCTCTTTGTATGAGCACTCCAAGAGCGTCTCCCTGCCGATCCGGAGCCCCATCCTTCCTCTTCAGGCCGAAGTCCGGCCTCAAAATGTTGTCGATGTAAAAGTTAGTGATCCTGTGAGACTGTTGGTTGCCAGGTGGCTGCAAGAGGGGCAGGATGGCCCGGTTGGACTGCTCCCCGGAGTCCCGTGGGCGCTCTGGGTCTCGGCGAGCATTTCCTTCCATTCTGATGAAGCCTGAGCAGCTTCAGCACCTGCTCCCTTCCGCAGCGTAGTGACTCCAATATCACTTTATTATCAGCTAATATCTATATTTGTCGCTGCAGTGAGAAGAGCGAGTTGGAGCGTGGCGCAGTAGTTTGTATTGTTTTCTGTGCAAACGCGCCTGTGGGGAATTTGACAAAGGAAAAAAAAAACATGCTTCAGTTTGTGCTCCTCACTCCTCGACCTGCAGCTCACCTGCGTCACTTTGAATCTCATAAAACTCCATTTCGTTTGTTTGCTTTGTTAAATCACTCTTTTGATTTTCTTGCTCCCTGCACACAATTACTGACGCTCCAGCAGCTCCAAGTGCGCTCATCAAGACGCCGCTCAAATACTTTCACTACTGATTTTTGGTTTTCATTTCTGATTGGCTGCGAGACACTGCGATGACGTCGTACTACGGGTCGTTCAGACACGTGCCTCCGACCAATAGAGGCAGAGAGTTGGTGTCATGTGAGGTTCCGGAATTCCCGGGAGGCGCAAATTAATCCAATCCACTCAGTCACTTTACGGTGCATTCAGGTTCCAGCGGAAAATTCCACTTCTCTGAATGTTTGAAGGTTCCGTTTGACCTCTGGAGTCACACTAGCAGAAACAATACTCAGAAATTGGTGATGACATTATTTCAGTTCCACACAACTCCTTATTATCTCATTACAACTACAAGACAAACAGATAACATGGACAGGCACGAAGAACGAAAGCTTTGATCTTCCAGGCGCTACCAATTCACATCCAACATCCCAATGGAAAACACGCAGCTCAGCAGCTCCATTTCCACGAAGGATTGAGAGGCTAGGCTTCCACTGACTGGGTTAGTTTCCTGCTCACACATAGTGATGAGCAGGGCTGGCTGTTTGCTCTCATAAGGTTATGAGCACACCTCTTTGGCTGTCACCTTGGAAAAAATAATTCATTTGCAATATCCTAGAGAATCCTAACCGGCTGAAGGCCGCCTGCTCACTGCCATGCCTGAATGCAGCACAAGTTAGCATCAACACCTAAACACAAACAGCTTAACACCGATTACCGGGACCAAAGCGTGGGTCGGGGTTGGGTAGGCCTGTGGGGCTGTGGCGGTGTTGGAGGTCGGAGAGACAGTCCGCATTCTGACTGCCTGAATGATATTATTATTATTATTATTATTATTATTATTATTATTATTTATTAATTAACTAATGATAAAATGGGCCTTTACAGCAAGCTTTAATACCTCATGTGTGTGTGTGTGTGTGTGTGTGTGTGTGTGTGTGTGTGTGTGTGTGTTATAATAGTTTCTTGTTCATGGTGCGTACTTTACCCCCGCATAAAATTGTTTAAAGGGGCCTGAGGGCTGATCTTCCTCCCGTCTGGGTGAAGATACAGTAAACAGAATATAGGGATGTATTTTCATCGTTGGGATGTTTTTCACTGAACTGGAACCAAAAAGGTTGTTTGGGGTTTGTTTGTTTTTTCAAATCTTTGGAAAAATATTCCCAAGCGTTTGTTTTTTTTTACTGTTCCCATCCATTAGTCTTTTCTGTTTTGCCATCCTGCGTAAATATGCGCGCAAAGTCGTGCGGGGACGCATGTCTCTGTGCCATGTGGGGCTCATTTTGTTGAAATTTTCAACAATGTAGTGGAATATAGCCTGTAAAATTTACACTGATATAAATACATCAATGCATATTGTCACTAACTTTAATATCCACGTGCTATTCAGCAGAAGAGCTCCCATGCAGTTTCATAAACATGACCAAACACGCGGAGTTCTGATGTAAAGCCAGCACTACAGCTGCGATCATTCATCAATAATCTCTGACAGTCCGATGAGTCTGTGTTTTCACTGATATAAATGTAAGCATATTACAAAGCGATTGTAAGCACGCTCAGTTCAGTCCGATCCAACTGCTACAGGAATTTTCTAGTGTGCGAAAGTTGGTTCAGAAAGAAAGACAAATTGTAGCTGAATAAAATAAAGGAACAAATAAGGTGGAAGTGAGAAAGTGATCCACTGAAGAAAAGTTTCAATAGAAGAAGAAAATCATGAAAGCGAGAAATGTGAGCGCGGACACACGCGCACGCGCTGTAGTCACGCGCAGCTCGAATATTTAGCAGGACTGACACAACAAAAAGTGCACCGTGAGGAACACGTGAGGAATTATTTTTTAATTATGTACTGGTTTCTTCAAAGGTCTTGTGAAGCAGTGGTCAAGTAATAATTTTCTGCCTTCGGTTGAAATACAAACAAACTCAGTGCGAGATGTGACGCAGCAGTCAGTGAATTCAGAGGCCTCGGTTAGCTGGGCGGAGAGGAGAGCATGCTGGGCTTTTAGCTTTGGTCACATGAGGTTAGTCTTACACACAGACACACACACACCTGCAGGTCGCTGTGTTTCTGTTCTTTAACTTTGTGTTTTCATGTTTGAAACACGTTAACAGGCTGAGTTACAGTGTAGCAGGGCTTTGGCTGTGCCTTTGATGTCATTTCTGCTCCCTTTAAAAATGCACCAACCCGTTTTCTGTAGATAGTTATGAGTTATCGTATTTTCGTTGCCGTCTGGAACAAATTCGGCGTCTTGTTAACATAAACAGATGTTTTTGAATACAGAAATGAATCAGTTAAAGACGTCACCCTGATGACCTCACACATAAACATGCAAAGAGGTAAAAATCATATGCGTTTCACAATCTTACACTGATCAGTTGTTTTTGCTTTTTTTTCATTTGATTAGTTTTATGATAGACAGAATCCTGTTTTATCACTGAGTTCATAATAGGTGGTGTTATTTGAACTGGAATATTTGGAATATCTCTCTGTTTTGTATATGTACAAAATATTGGATAACAATCCTGCAAACTCCAAGTCATGATGTACTATTTGGAATTTTCCCTGGAGTGATATTAGATCACAGGTGGAAATTGAATGCTTGTAAAATATGCCGTGGCCATGTGTTAGAGCAGAAAGTTTGTGGTGTTATTTTTTCCCCTTCATTCTTTATCTGCCGTTGGTGAGTACAAGGACTCCTTGATACATATCCCAGCCCCAGATTTTTAAAATAAAAGATACAAGCTAATGCCAGGCAACAGCTCAAGGACTTTGATAACTGTATGGGAATCAGAGCTCTGATATCAAAAATAAAAAAAACAGCTAAACTGGTCCATCTCAGTGATGAGCAGTAACATTTCTACAATAATTATCTGTCCCAGCTTTTGGATTTCTTAAGGTTGAGCAGCAGGCTTTATGAAACTGCATTTGTGCCCAGATGAGCCAGAAGACAAAGCAGAGGTCAGCCAGGACCATCAGCTTCTTGTCTGCCTTTTCAAAAGCCTCCTGGAGGGGGGGAAAGGAGCGAGGGGAGCTCTAAGGTTAGAGGACACTTCCGATTCCTCCCTAGCCGCTTTTTTTTAAAGTAGGTGGTGGAGGGTGGTGGTGGTGAGCTACAATAATCACTCACACTTTGACTCTAACTTATCGCTAGTAGGGAATGAAAAAGCTGGCTGAACTGTGACCTCCATCATCACGAGGCAGAAAAGCTCAAAGCTTTTGTTTCAGTCTAGCACATACAGGGCGTTATGATGTCACTGATATCTGTCACAGATCACACAGAATTGTGGATTTTTTGATTTTTGGACGAAAACCATTTTTAAACAAATATGAAATAAACCATTAAAGCATTGTCAGAAGCTCTCTGGCCATTCTTCCCCCTTACTGATCGCTGAAGATGAGACTTACAAAGGCAAAGCTGAGACGTGAATATTAACATTAGTAAATGCATCACAACTAAAAAAAGAAAGGACAACATATCAACAAATTCAGCAACTGCTCCAACTGATGTGAAGCTAAATTGGCCACACTGGGCTTCTGAAAAACACTCCTCACTGTGAAAACTTCAATCTTTCCAGGATGCTGCTGAGATTTAAGCACAGTCCATGTTGTGAGATTTACTTTTGTTAGCCCCACAGAGCAGACAAACCGTTCATGTGTCAGATGACAGGTCACAGAGCTGTTAAATGTAGCAAACTGCACTTAGAGTGGGAAGTTGTAGAATTCTGATGATCTTTGGCAAAAAAAGAAAATACAATTCACAAGTGTTTCTTTGTCACTGCAGATCTGAACTACATGCCCAAACTACTGTTTATGGCCTCAGTACAGTGTATATGTAGCTCAAAGGTAGCATAAATAATTCTGGATTTATGTATTTTTAGAACACAGAAATAAAATCATTCAAAAGTCAAATCTGTTTTTTAAATGCATTTACCCGACGAGGTCTGCTTTCAATAAGAGCCTGCATTTTCCTCTGATGGCTCAGTCAGTTTGTATTTATCTGCGTCCTGGATGCAGACAACCATACTTACACAGTTTTAGTTGAAATTCAAGCCCCTGTTTCCCTGTAAACCACACTTTTTATTGTGGAATAAAATACTAACACAATTTAAAAGGCACTTAGGCGAGGCAAGAATGCGTTTGATACAAATGACTCAGCAGTCATCAGAACAACACGTAGTGTAATAATCATTTTCCTATTAAAGGAAGAATAAGAGCCATACCTGGACATCATCTTCTGCTCAGCTCGTCCAGCTCTACTTAGCTCTGTCTTCCCCTTTGGCCTCTGACAGCATCCTCAAAAGCTGTGAGCAGGCTTTTTGCTATCAGTTACCACTTTAATCCTCCTGATCATTGTGCCATGGATAAAACCAGTGTGAAAGAAGCCCACAGGCCAGACTGATGGGCCTCCTGAGCTCTAGGGAGCTTGGCATTTTAGACAGTTGCTTGGTCCTGCATGAGTTCACAGCAGTACTGACTGACAAAGGATGGTCTTGCTCTGTTGCTCTTTTAATTTTAAGGGCTCCTCTGCAGAAGAAAAAGCATGCAGCACACACTGAGTTCTGCGGAAGGACACAAACCAGGGACAAAAGCATGAGCTGAAACATCTACCTATTGTTAATGTGTTCTAAAGGACAAGGGAAAGTTTTGCCTGT